AATAGTTCATGTTTTAACGAGCTTAAACACCAATGGTTTAGAGAATACATGAGGAATCGAATACTCAACGCATTTCAAACGATTTGCTTATTCAAAATCATAGCAAAAGTATCCTATTATTTCTTAAAAAATGACAGAGAATTTCGCATGCCTAGCTTTACGACTTTGATCCATTGCCTAATTTTAGAATGTATAAAGTAAAGTCCATAGTTTGTCGGGGCTAGGGAAGTGTGGGGGCGTAGGAAATCTCGTATTTCATCCAGCGTTGGAGAATACATTCGAAAAACGTTGAACATTCTCATCCAATAGGTCCTAGATGAGCAGAGATGGGGGCGTTGGAACTGCGGGGGTGTAGGAAATCTTGTATTTCACCCGGCGTCGGAGAATACGTTCGAGAAACGTTGGTAGGATGTTGGTTTGTGACATACAGATTCCTTGCTGTGATGGTATTCCCCATACTAGGTAAACAAAGAACAAATATGTAGTAACAACGTTTCTATATATTTCCATATTAATTGTAATGAGTGTCAAACCTCTATTCATTTTGTATTTTATAATCTAGGCTATAGAGTCACTTTTTATACAGGTAATAGCTAACAGATTAATTATTTGTCATGTGGTTTTATTATCTTATCAATTGTTTCCGAAAGTCAACCGAACGATCGGAGAGTATCAATCATCCACGGAACACTGACGTCAAAAAGACGTTTGGATATCGTCTAAACGTTCGAGAATCGTTATACTTTTATGAACCTGTATCATTCGTATTTGACCAATCAGAGCGTCTCATCCGAGAAAATTCACACTGACCTCACTCCGGAAGTCAAGCGACCAATCAGTCATCCACGGAAGTCAACTTTTGCGTCACAAAAACGTTTGGAAATCGTATGAACGATCGGAAAACGCAGACTGACGTCCCTAAACGTTCGGCAATCGTCTGAGGTCAAAGTTCATTAGGAAATCCCGTATTACGTTCGAGAAACGTTGGGAAAGCCCATATTTCATCATCAGGAAATGTTGAGGAGTGATCCAACCAATCAGATTACAGTCATCCATGGAGGTTAAACTCTGACGTCACTAAACGTTCGGCAATCGTCTGGGGTCAAAGTTAGTAGAGGTTAAACTCTGACGTCACTAAACGTTCGGCAATCGTCTGGGGTCAAAGTTCGTGCCTGATTTGGTGCCTAAAATTGCATTATCATTTACTCGGACTATTACTACTTACTACCGTGTTAGGAACTACGCCTAATGAACTACAAAAATTATTAGATATTGTATATAATTACAGCTGTCGCTGGCGTCTAGTATACCATGCAGGATTTCCATTAGATAAATGTAAAAGTGCCATATTAATATATGATTTGCATTTAAAACGATATGATGAAACACGTTGGCACCTTGGACGTGAATCCCTTCCAACTAGACACCAACAAGTATACGTAGGCAATATCATTGACTCTAATACTCATGTAAGCTCTAAGGCAGCTATAACGGAAGCTTGTCTTAAAGCAACACGTACTTTTAACTCTTTGTGTTTTATTGGTATGTACCGTAATGGTCTCAACCCTCTAACTAGTGCCAAAATATGGAAAAATATTATAATGCCTTCTGCATTTTATGGTTGTGAACTTTGGTTCAATATTAAACGAAATGAAATGGAAAAGCTCGAGCGTGCTCAACGACAGGTTGCCAAAAGAATCCAAGGTTTCCCTATAAGAACACCTAGTGCTATAATCTTGAGCACGCTTGGTCTATTGTCCGTTGAGAGTTACATCAATAAAATGAAATTCCTGTTTCTTGGCAGATTACTGAGAACTGATAATCTATATGTTCAAAAACAGATTTTACTAATTAGAATATCTAGCTTGCTGGTTAGAAACGTTTTACACCTCAAACAAATGGGCTTTTTGGCTGATATTCTGCAACTTAAAGATTCTTATCCTATTTTATATACTGAGTTTGAACGTTATATTAAAACTACTGTTGTAATGCATAAATCCAAATGGAAAATGATAGTTAACGCACAAATCTTTTCAAAACAACAGCAATTATGGCACCAAATGCTGGATCAGGATGCCTCTCTATATCGCTTTAGAAATAGTCATACAGTGTACGAACCAATAATACATTGGAAATTGGGAATTATTTATCCATCTCACACTTGGAAATTGGGACAGCTTTTATCCTTATTAATACTGAACTCAGAAACTGATAGATGCTGTCCTCTTTGCAATAGTGTGACGAATGACATCACAAAACATATATTATTACAGTGTCAAGTACTATTTCAAGAAAGAGATAATTTAATGCTGTTGTTGATACATTAGGAGTTGTTGACTCAGTGGCGTTATTTAATACTGATGATGAGATATTTCTTGAAACTATTTTAGGTAGCAGAACAGATATGTTATTTGATTGTAATGATTGCATTTGGCAACAATTTTTAATAGTATCTGCGGTGAAAATAGATTATATTCTAAACCATGCTGTACTACATTTAAATATGTAAATACATGGAATATTTGTAAATAATGTATATTTATTATTATTATTTTATTTGTCCTTAATTTTGAGTTAAGTTAAAATGTTAAATTGTAATCTTCATTTAATGGAGGAAATAAAGAATATACAATACAATACAATACAATACAATACATCACTTACAAGTATTTATTACAGGTCAATTCAATTTTTTATATTTCCTTTATTTCATAATACATCATACAAACAGATGCAGGGCCTACGCCGAAGCATTATTGTATTATTACAGGTCGTGTAGTCCATTGTTGCTTGATTAATAGCAAAAACGTTGACTTTTGCACGTTGGTTGCGTTGCGCCTTTTTTAATAGATCTTATATCTTAAAAGAGTATCGGTTGAAAAATAATCCTAGAATACCTAACATATTTTATCATACCGTGCGCTTATTCAATTTGCAATTCAATCGTAAACTCTGTCTTGAAAAATAATTTTACCAGATTTGTTGAATTTTCTAGCGGAAATTGCCTGCTCCCCCCCCCTCCGTCCCATTTTCACGATCACCGGGCGTGACATTTGAGGAATACTTTTAAATTAAATCATGTCAGAAACACTTTAGTAAGTTTTTTTGTTTCCTATCATTCATTAAAATCAATAAGATTTATACCCCCCTTTTATGGTAAAGTAGGGAAAAGGAGATCCATATTTATCACATGTAACATCCATAATCTAACTTACATATACTCCTCAAAAAAAGTCAAGGACCTCATAGGTTTACATGTTAACCCCCATATTTGTTTAACGACTGTTTTCTAAGCGGGGAACAAAAGAATTCCCCATAAAGAAAATAAATCTGTATCTTGATTCTATTCACTATAAAGTCCGCAACGTTTCAATGTTATATCTCCATTACATTGGGTCAAAATTTGATGTTAAAATTGATAAATTTCATGAAATTTAACAAAAATGGCAGATCCCATATTAAACAAATGGGGAATGGTTGGGTTGCCATAAGTCATATGAGGAACGATCCATCCATCCGATTGCTCTCAAAATTGAGATTGTAAGAGATAATTAAATTTGCTAAATTGTCTACTCGACAAAAATATGATTTAATTGTCCAGGCTTTACAAAAGTTAATGGTTTCAAATTCAATAATTTTTTAATGAACCTCTTATTGAAATAACACAGGTGGTTCAGTGAGGTGGTCAAAATTACTTTAACGCTCCGTATCGCTAATTTTAACAACATAAGCGAGACATTTAGCATGTAAAATGTAAAATCATTCAATTTTCTACTTAGAAAATATTTTTAATAAATGTTTTGCTGAATAGATATTCCAAAATCTGAGTTGCCCCTAAGCCACCATTCCCCATTTGTTTAACATGGGATCTGCCATTTTTGTTACATTTAATGAAATTCATCAATTTTGACATCAAATTTTGACACAATGCAGTCAATATGGTACAACGAAAATGGGACTTCTGCGCATGTTAAAATTTTTCGTCAAAACTCAACTTTTGTTCAAGTTGATACGATTGTCTTTCGAACTAGAGACTTACCTCATTCGAAAGATCATAAAAGACTTTATCTATACTGAAAATCTTAGATCCAAACATAGTAGAATACGCCGTCAGTCCGCATTTGATTTTTTGAAGTGAGTTTCAAGTCGTAGATCGTCAGATTTCTCCGACTGATATCGGGTTATCTCAAATTGGTTCGTTTATAAATACGAATTTCTTTACCGTTGTAAGGCGCATGCGCAAAATTGATTTATAAAACGTTATTGGTTGATGGTTTTTCTCCTGAGCATGCTTGAAGTCCGATGACACTTATGACGAAGACCGGAGCAAACATTACTAGCTCTCGAACGAAATTCCAAGATTCAGATCATTTCGCCGTGTTTGCTAAGCGTAGCTGTTTTGAGTAGATCAGGTACCTGTTTTAGACACAACATTGATTTAGCTTGACATTGATGTGCTCATTGGCACTTTTGAGCATGTTAATACAAGTTTTTACACTCTTAGCACGAGACGGGTTTTCGAAAAATCTGTTATCTGATTCACTCGATTATCGTATGGATATGTATTTCTGCTGACATTTCAACACCACATCACATAGAATTACGATGCAGAATGATAATAAAACACAAAACAACGACTAAATTCCACTTGTTATTTCACAGGAGGTAAAAATGCAAACTGCCTAGATTCTTTGTAAGGGTCGTCAGACATCGGATTGGCCGCCATATTTGAAATTAAAATATCACTAAATAGAGGTCTGCGCATGTCTCAACATTTCGACTGAATGTAATGGAGATACAAACATTGATCACGTTGCGGACTTTATAGGGAATAGAATCAAGATACAGATTTATTTTCTTTATTGGGATTTCTTTTGTTCCCCGCTTAGAAAACAGTCGTTAAACAAATATGGGGGTTAACATGTAAACCTATGAGGTCCTTAACTTTTTTTGAGGAGTATATTATGGATTTAGCCATTCCGTACCCGTTTCATTTTCAGAGGTGTGCATAGAATCGAAAAGATTCTTGCACACTGGCCTGGTCCTGCAAGTGTATCTGTTATTGGAACTGATGACGAAGTTAAAAAATTCCTGAATACGATACACTCTTGGAAACGAAACAATGTTGGAATACATGTAGTGTATCAAAGAAATACAGTTAGTTTCACTTGCCGATGAGCTAAAATTGCCCCAGCCACGATGACTGCAATAAATAGAGACAATGTCCGCTTAGTAACCATATTTTGATATCATCCTTAAGCTTATAGTAAATATTATTTGTGGAAAGAATATATAGCTGGGGCCCATAACATTTCCAGAACCTTAGAATATTCCATATCAGTTGTACAGGGTGTCCATAACGTCGATTTACAATTTCAATAAAAAGTGTGTGTAAATTGTAAAATGACTTTATGGACGAAAATTGCATTTTCAGAAGAATCATTTCTTATCAATTTTCAAGTGTTATAGTTGAAGAAACCAAAGCCTATTGATAATAATAATAACCTGATTATTGAGACCTACCTTTAAAATTAGGTCAAATTAGGCCCATTTGAGGCCCTAGTCCCAAATCGTCCATGTTGGTTATTGGGAATATGAATTCGTTAATAATTCTCATACATTTTTCTGCATTTTTGTAGACATATTACCCAGTTAACTTTATGAGAAATGTTGCTCTCTATGGCGCTAATACTTCCCATATTTGGATGGTTGATGTAGATTTTACTCCAAATAAGGATGCATATCAGCTTTTAAAGATGCACATACCTCGGTTTGACTGGACAACAACTCGACCGGTATGTACATATAATAAAAGAAAGACGCAAAAATATAGTTTAATTAAAAAGTCTACGAAACCAAATTTGTTTAGCTGTGTAGAAAAGTCGGCCTTCACTCGTTTTGCCGATCAATCCATCCATCCGTCCGAAGGACGTTGATCCATTTGTCTATCAGGGCTATAACTCTGTCGATCATTTCATTAAGGAGTGCATAATAATTGGGCATTCAATCTGGTCTAATTCATGGAGAGAGAGCACGAAACGGAGGTGATTGGATTTTTATTGACATTCTATCCAACGATAGCAAAAGACTCTTCTCGAGAATGAATCTGCATGCTTTACAGTTAACAATACAACGAAAAGTCTAAATATATTATCATCTATTTTACTTAATACAATTCCAGGCTTTGGTTACATCAGCATTAGAGACGAAATTGAATGTAGGGGGAGTGCCCGAGAATAAGACAAAACTGTTGGAGAAGTTGTTGGAAAATAATAGAACAATAGAGACATTCGGGTAATGTGTGTGTAAAAATTATTTTAATGGATGCAAATGTAGCTGTATTTGAATTAGAAAAATCGACGGATAATATTTTAAGTTTCAAAGCAACATTTGAGAGAACCTTAGAACCAGAGAACCCGAGGGTGGAATTTGCTCTATGAAAATTTAGCACAAAAATCAGAATGGGGCCATTCTTAGACTGATTTTAGAGTTGAATAAATTAGAAAATTAGAAATGGCTTCAAGTCAATTTGGATCTTGCACATTTTGACAATTTGTTTATGTTACCCGAAACAATCTTTGTGTTAAGTATAATCTGCAGAATTGTCACTGTGAGGCATCACGGTCTCCTTTCAATTCATCTCAGAAACCAGTTCCAAATAGTTTCAAATCATAACAATGCCATGAGCATCAAAAGTGATCAGAAATCTTGCATTTGCAGCTTAACCAGATGCCCTCAATGCCAAGTTAACACAGACTGGCACAAGTTTATGACTGTCGCCGAAGTATACAAGGTAATACAAATAAGTGAGACTATGAAGGTCTATAGAGATTTAAAGTTTTCCTTAAAATCCTGAATTACTGAGTATCTCGTTAACGTATCCCTATCATGCCCAGTTTTTCAAAAATCTAAAAACTTCATTGCTTTTCAAGGAAAAGTCAGAGAGATGTGGAGACAAAAAATTTATATAATCTTTCATTGATGAGGTTAATAGGTTATACGAGGCCCGATCAGAAAGTAAGTAACCAACTGCTCTCATTTTTTCATACTTTATTCAATCACATTGGAATTTTCACAGATGATGCAGCAAATATGAAACTATTAAATAAGATCAATGACAATAGGTTAGCTTCAATTACATTGTTATGTGTGTTGTTATGGTGACAATTGCTTTGGGTAGGCGGGGCACCCTTTTGAAAGCGGGTTTGGAAGATAATTTGTAGTTTTTTTTATATACTGTATACCTCCAAATGGCCTCACATTTTTATGCAAGACTGCATAATTTGTTTTATGTGATTATCACAATGGTAACTACATTCCATTGTCCCATTATGAGTCATCGACACAAAGAAATCAAGGATATTTTTGTTTCATATCAATGATGGTTGCAGTTCAGTCACAGTTTCAGTCAAGTCAAATGTGGTTGAAAGGGGATTTTCCTGGCTTGACGACAATGCTGCACCCCAAATAGCTCACATTACCGAAGATGCAGTCGATGGAGCCTTCTCCGTGGCCACACAACTTCCCCAGGCTCCCTAGTCCCCAGACCTGGCACCATGCGATTAATAATAATAAAGATGTCGTTACAATGTATGGAGAATCCGTTTTTGACAGCAATGACGCCGTCATTAAAGCTTTCAATGGCAGTTTGCAGTCACTGAACAGCATGTGAATGGTGACCTGTTGCACGTCTTTAAGGACAGAGTGAAACGTTGCCTTAACTGCATTGACTTTGGTAGTAATTATTTTGGGAGGACTAGGAATTAAAATGTAGTCATACATGTAAATTTGATATATTTTGGGGTATAACAACATGTAGAAAAACTCTACTAATTATCTCCAAACGCCACTTACAAAAGGGTGTCCCGCCTACTCAAAACAATTGTCACCATAGCAACAGCCATAACAATGAAATTGACGCTAACCCATTGCCTTTGGTCTTGTTTAATAGGTCAATATTTTCTACATCCTCTGTGAAAATGTCAATGTGATTGAATAAAGTATGGAAAAATAAGAGCACTTGGTTACTTACTTTCTGATCGGGCCTCGTACACTTATATTGCGATAATCGTTATATATAATTATATAATTATTATAGATACAAGGAGGGGGAGATTTTGAGCCTTATGTTGTTGTACAAAGAAAGACCAGCCCTGCTTATGATGAACGTTTGATAGCTAGGCATATGAACAAAATACTATATGATTACGAATTATATGTTTTGAAGTAAGTAACGTATATCTCATTTGGATATTTTATATCGTATATTTTAATAGATTAGTGTCACCTTGGCCACCTTTATATGCATACTCTACACGTACATGACCATCAAGATCTACCATGTTTATCTTAATGGATTACCAGTTACTATGTATAATGTAATCGTTGTTTTGACTGATTTAAAAATATGCACGTTTTTTGGCCCAACTTGTATGTACATGTATTTGTATTTTTAGGTATGAATTCTATGTTTTACCAGATGTATACATCGTTCATGAACCACACAAACGGATAAAGCAACCAAAGTCTGTATGGAAGTAAATGTTTTTTCTACATCTACATCAATAATCCGCAAAAGGCTAATATGATTTATCATATCATGCATGACAAACTACTTTTATTTTTATATATGTATGTACACAAATATATATATACTTGTTTATTACTTATATGTACAAATACATGTACTTAAGTTTACTACATATATTATACAGATACATGTTATATACTATGATATAATGAATGATCCTCCCTAATAGGCGGCCTCGGGTTATTAATTTGATTAATTAATACTTAACCCCAGTTTTTTTGCTCAGAACAGAAATTGGCAATCATACTATTTTTAAAGAAGTTCCAGTCATAATCGCAATATGTTTTTGATTTAAGTTTATTTTTCAGGTGTATGGAGAAAATTGCAAAGCAGATCGTCAGAGAGGTTGACAGGAAGAAATCATAGTACATCATGAAAAGGCTCATGTCATCTCATTCAACTTGTAAGACTGTAAGACTAAATCATCACAATCATGTTAATGGATATATGGGGCATGAACAACTTGTGTGAACCCTAATTCTTCAAGAGTAATATGGGCAATTTGAGGAGTGGGAAGAAGCATTGCCATAATGGAAGATAACTCTCCGCTTTTTTGAGTCATGATTGTGACTTTGAGAGTCTGACCAATGATTTAAGAAAATTGAGCAAGGTACACTCTTATATCACAACACAGATGTTACTTTAGAAACTAAAGTTAGAAATATTTGAAAAAATAAAAAATCACAGAAATTTGTCCACCAAATAGGTATTAATTAACCATACTTTAAAATAAAAATGAATTCAAGTTTTGCTAGACCCGCCACGCCATTTGTCATGTTGCTATAGCAACAATAATTATACATTGTGACATCATATGACAATGAGATTGTTCACTTTCTTTATTGCCATAATTATGATGAATTCCAGTTTTAGCTCACATGGTTAGCTTTTGTAATCGCTCACTTGTCCGTCTGTCTATCCGTGCGTGCGTGAGTCCGTCCGTCCGTGCGTCCGTCCGTTAACAATAGTGGCACGTTTTAAAACCTCTGTCGATAGGATTCCTGTTTTAAGTTATTTCTGTTCAACATCAATACTATTCTGGCAGAAAGTTCAAAGCTAATCGTTTTCTTCGGATTACAATGTTTTTTTAACTTATCAGCATGAATATAGGGTTGGGACCTCAAAACCACGGAATGCCGGAGCGGCACCCTTGGGCAACTCTCTACAAACCATTTCTTATACCCCCTAAGAAAATCTACTGGGGGTACTATAATACACCTTTATATATCAGACACTAATAAAGATATAGACTTGAAATCTTCAGGAATTAGTTTAAGTATAATGCTTAATCTGTATGGTGAAAATCAAGAAAAAATCTTAATCCGTTGCTATAGCAACAGTAATAGATCACTATTAGTTACCTTAGAAATGTATTATTTTGTGGGTTTTCAGCATTTTCTTCATATTCTTGATTCTTAAACTATCTTAAACTATCTGAAGCACATAGCATGTTTAGAGGTGAAGATAAAATAATTCATCATATCATTTATGTAATATGTCTAACAATTCAGTTGCTATGGCAACATCACTTGATAATCAGCTTCTTACATTTCACTTTCTTTAATGAGTATAAAGGTGGTCCAAAATAACACTTTTTCTAAAGGTATGTTCTCTAGGTAAAGAAGCTCTTTTAGAAGTAAATAGTCACTTGAATTTGTTAAAAATGTATATCTTTGAGTTGTAGAACCCCTCCCCACAGCCCCAAAAATGTGATGATTGGTGAAAACTGGCAAAAAAACATTTCATTTTCTAGGTTCAAACTAAAAATGCATTGGGATGCAACACTTATTAGTATTCAAGGAACATCTAATGACTTTGTCTGATATAACAATATGAAGATTTTAATTATTAGATGATGGGAAGTATTTTATTTGAAACATTTTAGAATCCTATCCCATAAAAATGTTGGAAAGAGGGTGTGGTCAATTTTGCCATTTCGCAGCATTTAAAGTTAGAAATATATACAAACCAAGGCATTAAAACATCTTCAAATGTTAAGTATATAGGACACTATATTTTATATGTTAATCTTGTATTAATTAGTACAAGTCTGAAATCCAATGCAATCATACAGTGGAGACTAGCAAGGTTTGCATACAATCCAGACAATGGAATCTTTTACAACCCATTCAGCAGAATCATTTACAATTTAGAGCCAGGGTTTTGAAAACTAGCTAAAATGTTTATAATTGAAAACAACTAAAGATGGCTTTCCATTGGTCAACCAAGCAGCAATATGCATTAAGTCTGACCAGGTTTGCCATTGCTCACAGCTGCAAGTGTGACGTGTGAACAGTTGCCGCCAACATTTGGTTCTCAACATTCGTGGTTAGATCGTCAACTTGCCACTAACTCCAGAAACCACTTACTCAACATACAATATACCAAAGATGCCACCTCACACAAGCACACTCACTCACCCAAAGATGCCACCTCACACGAGCACACTCACTCACCCAAAGATGCCACCTTACACGAGCACACTCACTCACCCAAAGATGCCTCCTCACACGAGCACACTCACTCACCCAAAGATGCCACCTCATACAAGCACACTCAGTCACCCAAAGATGCCACCTTACACGAGCATACTCACTCATCCAAAGATGCCACCTCATACGAGCACACTCACTCACCCAAAGATGCCACCTTACACAAGCACACTCACTCACCCAAAGATGCCACCTCACACGAGCACACTCACACATCCAAAGATGCCACCTTACACGAGCACACTCACTCACCCAAAGATGCCACCTTATACGAGCACACTCACTCATTCAAAGATGCCACCTTACACGAGCACACTCACTCACACTAGCTAGCTACTTTCCAACACCTGGCTCTGATGCTTCATGGTTTTATAAGGATTCTACGTATAAAGTCACATGATGAGAACTAAGAGCTTTTTGCTTGTTATGAATGACCCAGCTGAACAGCCTGGCTGTAACTGCCTGTAAGGAGTCTTGAAAATTTGAAGACATCATCTTTAGTGATTGACATTAATCTTTTTAGCTATTTTTCAAACACCTGGCTCTGACGCCTCATAACTTAACAAGGACGCTACTATTTGTTCAGATGATGAGAACTACCTGTAGGTGTTTTATATAACAGAAACTTTTGCCATGATTTGCACATTGACGGCCAAAATGACTGACCCAACACATCAGGATACAATTGTGCATGATGACCACCAACACCTGACTAATGAGATGATATGCTTATATGTGTTGACTTTATACCAATGTCCTGATTAAGCCAACTGAACCCAATCACCCGTGACGGTTACGTGATTGTAGTTTAATTATTCCGGGATCTTGTAGGTTTCCGGTACTCACAGGTATCTCATCTCGATAACGATTAACAAATGCTGTTGTAAATTGTTTGTTCTTTATTTATACTTTCATCTGCGACCTGGATTCACAATCTTTTACGTCTTTGAGATAATTCTTCCTTCTAAGAGTTGTTGTATTCTCAGCTCGAGAGTATTCGTGAAGATGATCCCGTATTAGAACATCAGATTGTGTGATCCAAAATATCAATGTTTCAGAAGGCGATCCCAATTCAGAATGTTTGATTGTGAATCCGGGGTTGCTTATATACAAGTAAAATTACATAAATCATTCTGTCAGGATTGCGCAATAATAGGCAAAATTGTGCAATAATTGCACAATCGCCCACGCATATTGCATCAGAAACCTGTTCAAAACCTGCTAAAAGTGGTTACTGATATATTAGTTCCACCTGACAGAATAAGCTTAAAATAGAATCTTGTACTATAATTAGCTCAACCGGTTTAAACTAGTATCAAGTTATCAAGTACAATCTCAGGTGTCAATCAAATATTAACTCCATCAACTGCTACCTGGTTGAACCAACATAATACAAAATAGTAACAATTACTATCAGATTCTTTACAATATTGGTATAAATATCAATGATATCAAAATAAATATCAATGATATTAAATAATATAATAAATTAATTAATTGACTAATTAATGTCAAAAAGTGAGTGGTAACACAACCTCTCTATTATATGGTTACACTTCATTAGATGTCATTATGATACATGTACTAAATATTAAACTTACATATAGAATTGTACTTGTGCAAGATAACAACCATAGTCTGATTGCTCCGATGAGAAAAAATCAATGCTTATGATATCTATACATTATGCTAATGTCTAGACTATGCCAACCTCTATTGTAAGATTACATTAGATTTCATTATGATACATGTACTATATCTATATAAAATATACATACAGAATTGTACTCATTCATGATAACCATCAAGGTCTGATTGCTCAGATGAGACAAACCAAAGGTTGTAATAATTAGGCATTATACCAATCACTAAACTATGCCAACCTCTCTAATGTATGATAACATTAAATGTCATTATGATACATATACTAGATATAAAACTTACATATTATATAGAACTATACTCATTCATGATAACCATCATAGTCTCATTGCTCAGATGAGAAAAACTAATGGTTGTAATAATTAGACATTATGCCAATGTCTAGACTATGCCAACCTCTCTACGGTATGAGAACATTAGACTTCATTATGATACATGTACTAGATATAAAACTTAAATAAAAAAGTGCAGTCTCCTATATACTAGATTATGGTAATGAATGAATTACAATGAATATGTTAAAATGCATTGATCTTTTGTCTAATGAATGCTGCTAAATGATAAAATTGACTACAACCATATTTCAACATTTTATGAGCTAGTGTTCTAAATTATAAATACTTTCGAGTGTCAAATAATTAAAATCTTTATATTGTAATATCAAGCAAAGTCAGTAGATGTTTTTTGGATACTAATTGATGTTGAATCCCAATGCATTACTAATTTGAACCTAGGAATTGAATGTTTTTTGCCTGTTTTCCCCAAATTGTCAAACTTTGGGGGCTTTGGTAAGGGAGTAAGATAAAGTTGTAGAATTTTATTTGACTATTTACTTCAGAAGAAACATGGTTTCATCTTTAAGGTACATAATGTTCCAAAAGTGTTATTTTGGACCACTTTTATACTCATTAAAGAAAGTCAAATGTAAGAACCTGATATCAAGTGATGTTGCCATAGCAACTGAAATAGACATATTACACAAGTGATATGATATGATATTTTATCTTCACTTTTAATCATATTATGTGCTTCAGATAGTTTAAGAATCAAGAATATGAAGACAATAATGAAACCACACAAAATAATGCATTTTTAAGGTAAGAAATAGTGTTCTATTACTGTTGCTATAGCAACGGATATATATATTTTCTTAATTATTGTCATACGGATCAAACATCATACCAAGAATACTTCCTGAAAATTTCAAGTCAATATCATTATACGTGTCTGAGATATAAAGGCGTCTTATAGTACCCCTGTAGATTTTATTAGGGGGTATGAGAAATGCTCTGTAG